TACGAGTTGGTAGGATGCTCACCTCTTGGACGAAGTGTATCAGGTCCCGCCAGTTGTCTGAGTCCCGAGGCTCAAGGGAGGTTCGCCAGTGACTGAAGTAGCCAGGCAGGAGACCGGGGCAGGCGAGCAGGCAGTCAACAACCAGCTGGCGTCGCAACGGATCCGTAAAGGCGTTATGCATGGGAGGTGAGAGGAGGAGGTGCAACAGGTGATTATTTGGTAGCCTAAATAAGAGGGAGGAGGAGGAGTAAAGAGATGCAGGCGGCAAAAATAAGGTGGGTGCGTGCAAATAAAGACGCACAGACACGAAACAAGCACGACATCAACTTTAGAAGCTTATATACACACAGTAAGATAAAAGCGATTACGAAGTCTTCTGGCCTTCCCAAATAGCAGTCTATGGTGGTCAACGAGGTAAGTCAGATAACCCAGGCTCGCGACAAAAAGCAAACGTACACAGTTTAACCTTTAAGACTTTAAAAAAGTCAAATGAGACCTTTCTGTCAAATGGTCTTAAAGTAACGTCGAACATAATAGAGCTGACTGTATGACCACGTGCGAAGGGGAGCACGAAAAATGGCATCTGTTACGAGAAAACGGACATGGTCAGGATCTAAAATAAATGCCCCCATATCAGACAGATCGCGGCTGGCGATCATATTCTTCAGTTTACTGTGCAGTACGAAAATTCCAACTTTGAGCGTACAGTAAGTATAACAGTAGGGGAACGTTGGAGTAGATCCATCAGCATCTAATAAAACGCTGTTAGCAAAATTAAACGTAAATGTCTGGAAGAAATTCAGGCTTTTTAAAAACTGTAAAGTTTTCCCCACATATTTATCGGTTTTGCTATAAACTGTGGAAGCAATCGGAAACATCTCACAAAGCTTGTGGTCATTCGCTACGAGTAGGCACGACAATGATTGGTGATCAGCCAAAATAAACGGTAAATCAGCGGAATCTCTAAAGCCTGATAACGCATGGGGAGATTCGGTTATGTGCGTGAATGTTAACAGTGGGCAAAACAACATACATCAGACGCGCAAAAATCGGGCAATGCAATTTGCAAACGTCGCATTGACGTTCAAAACATGCTGTAAACAGGTGCATCTTTCAGTCTTTCCAGCTCCGCATTTTGATACATTCTAGTGTATGTTGAGTGAGGCAGCTTTAAATCATGTCTGCCAATATGTCAAATCTCTTCCCTAGACGTCTTGACTTGGAACCCAACAGATGCGTAGGGGACTAGATCTATCAAACGCCTGAAGTCCGCACAAACAACCACGTTGAAGTTATTTTGAGATGTGCTTCCTATTAGATACTACTGTTTCTTAAAGTACTACCTATTTACTTTCCTCAAAAATTCATCACAAACTTGAAGTAAATCTGCCTGAAACAAGGCTTATCGGCAGAGGCCGGAAGTTGCAATACAAGATTATTTACGAGAAAGTACATGAGGAATGCTGGGAAACCCACTGCTGAGCTGAACCTCTTGCAGCTGTGCGATGCAGCGGTAGCATATTGGCGAAACACATGTCTGGGCTTTTAGTCGGTATCTGTGTGTCGTGATTGGAAAATAGTCGAGTTATTCAGTACGCACTAGCCAAACAGTCGAGGAGAATGAAGAATCGAGTACCCTAGAATAGGGCCTTACTCATAATTGTCGTACAAGAACTAAAATGGGATGAAGAGTGGTTAGAATTATATAGACAATATGCAAGCGTTCGCTAGGAGGCAGGGGTGAACGTTAATCAACGAGTGTAAGAAGGTAAAGGTAAACGGTAATCAACGAGTGTGAGAAGGTAGGGGTGAATATTAATCAACGAGGGTGAGAGGGTAGGGGTGAACGAGGGTCAGAGTAGTATTAACACGACACTGTGCTCTCATGTTGCACCATGTAAATTCCAGCATATGCCACTGATGGCCTGTTGGCAGCCTAGGGAAGATTATGAGGTCATCCCACCATTGCTGATGGCCTTGGCCCAGATAGTCACGCCGACTTTAATTTAGATTAACCGGTAGGATTATGTCGTGAGGTCTTTGAAAGGCCCTTATGTATTATAGCCCCCTACTTAAATTTTTAAGTAGGTTGAATTAAATATAATCTTCCGGTTTTCTACACGCCATTCATCGATCCAGCTGGGATTTTCTGATGACATTGAACTGCAGAGCGGTTCTCGGAAGGCACCTGCATTGCATAATTGCTAAAATCCACAAACTAAGGAAAGTTGGCTTTTTGACCTAACCACGGAAATTATCGCTTACTTACAAATTTTAAGTAGGGTGATTTACATAATTTCCCCACTTTTGTACTTTTCCTAGTATGTGTTGGTGATACCACTGGAAAATATCTCTCATTTAT